GGATAATAGATGTTCTGGCTTATCATAAAAGAATGTACATTTTAGTCTGTCATTGAGTGAATGAATGTGCATTGGGAATTAAAGTATACTATAAGAAAAAAAATGTGTTAATTATTGAAACTGTCCTACCAAAAAAAAAAAAAAAAAGAGCTTTTGATATAAAGAAAAAGAAACATTCTGCAAGGATTCAACTATCAAAACCATCACTATTGATAAAGAAATAACAATCCCCTGGCTGTATTTTATACTTCAAAGTATATTCAGATGAGTTAAGCTCTAATCCCAGCATGCAAGAAGCTGAAGCAGGAGTATCTCTGAAAGTTCAAGGCCAGCCTGGGCTACATAGCAAGATGCTGTCTCAAAAAAAAAAGGGGCCGGGGAGATGGCTCAGTAGGATAAGCGTTTGACTGGCAAATGCAAGGATCTGAGTTCAATCTCCAGTTCCGCCAAAAAACAAAAACAAAAACAAATAAAAACCAACTTTAAAAAAAAAAAAAGGGGCTGGAATGATGGCTCAGTGGTCTAAAGCACCTACTTGGAACAAGCTCGGCAAAGCACAGGGACCGCGGTTCGATCCTCCAGCACCACATGCCAGCCAGCCGCGCCCCCCTGGTGGGCTGAGCTGGCCACACACACACAATAAATAAATGTTAAAAAAAAAAAAAATTTAAAAAAAAAAAAAAAAAAAAAAAAAGTTTAGCTCATGAGCACTGCACACCATGGCAATACTGACATGACTGATCTATTCTGCATGTTCAACAGCTGGAGTTATTATTATTATTATTTTTAATTATTTTTGCAGAACTGGGGATTGAACTCAGGCCTTTGCACTTGCCAGGGAAGCACTTATACTACTGAGCCATCTCCCCAGCCCCAATAGCTGGAGTTTTGAGACTTGATCTAGAAAGGTAACTGGTGATGACCCAGGACACGAGGGAACCTTTTTTTCCAGGAGCCTACAATTTTGGTGAGACCCCCAACCTCCTGAGCAGGGAGAACACTGCCCTGCCCATCCGAGGACAAGCATCAGCAAACCAGGTGGCCTAAGGAAGATCCCCAGAGGGAGAAATCTCAGGAAGCAACAGGAAACAGCACAGTCAAGGAAGACCATGAGCCATCCTGACCGCTGACCTTGACAGCTGAGCCGAGAAGGGCTCTGTCAATGGTTCCAAAAGCAATGCCTGCAGGCACTCAACTGACCTTAGCCAACAGCAAGAGGTTGATTTTGATGAATGCAGGTCTCACTTTAACTTGGTCTTAAATACCCTGCAGAACCAAAAGCTATACAAAAACAATACCATAGTACTACAAGCAAGATATAAAAAGGGGCTCCAACTGCTGACCCCTACTGGATGTTCCTAGCTACTCTGCTAGAAACAGTTGAACCAGTTATGGCTCAGTGAGACAAAAACAAGGAAACACTGATAAAAGCTATAAAAGCTCAGCAAGCCTTTTAATTCTTTAGCTATAATTATCCTTCAAAACCAACTTCTCCATCTTCTTACAGCTAAACCTAGGACTTATAAGAAATATCAGACATAGATAACCTTTATCAGTAGAGGGATCCAAGAGACAATGGGTTACAGTCACTATTCCAGTCCCTTAAGACAGTTCCTGGATGTGGCGCTTTCCCCAACCTCCATCTCTATTTTACTCCTCATGCTTTGATTATACAAAGCACTTAGTACTCATGTTTTGATTTCTTGGGAGTATGTCCACAGAGGGTGCCTAACACCAAGTGATCATACAGATAGAAACAACAAACGTGTCACACTATTTACTGAAATCGAGATTGGCCTCACAATGGGAGGTCCTAACTGCTGAACTGCAATGTGACTTCTATCGAAGTCCCCTGATATCAGCTCTCTGGAAAAGGCTCCTGTGTTCGCCCCTACACTAACATTCCTCAGCTCAAAGCAGCTACACCCACCATTTTCTACAGGATCCTACAGATTTGCTAAGTCACCCAACCTCCTGAGTGGGTATACTGGGGGACCCCAGAGGACAAGAATCAACAATGAAAGTAGGGATTATCCTTTCGTCTCGGCCACCGACATGCCCTCCAGACTAAGGAAGACCCGGAAGCTTCGGGGCCATGTGAGCCACGGCCATGGCCGCATCGGCAAGCACCGGAAGCACCCCGCAGGCCGGGGTAATGCTGGTGGCATGCATCATCACAGGATCAACTTCGACAAATATGACCCAGGTTACTTTGGGAAGGCTGGTATGAGGCATTACTACTTGAAGAGAAACCAGAGCTACTGCCTGACTGTCAACCTTGATAAACTGTGGACATTGGTCAGTGAGCAGACATGAGTAAATGCTGCAAAAAGCAAGAGTGGAGTAGCTCCCATCATTGATGTAGTGCAATTGGGCTACTACAAAGTTCTTGGGAAGGGAAAGCTCCCAGAGCAGCCTGTCATCATGAAAGCCAAATTCTTCAGCAGAAGAGCTGAGGAGATTAAGGGTGTTGGGGCGTGGGGGGGGGGAGGGGTAGGCCTGTGTCCTGGTAGCTTGAAGCTTCTGGACAGGGGGCTCATTAAAATGCTAACAAATGGTTTTAAAAAAAGGAAGTAGGGATTATAAGGCAGTCAGACGGGGCTGGACCCTGACCCTGAAAGTTCAGGGCAGAAGAGACAGGGCAGAAGAGACAACTGTGGCTACAAGCGTATTCACTGAAGGTCAGACCTCACAACAGAGATGTGACTATACTCACACATCCTACATAGGCATCCATCTCCCTTCCAGAAGTTCAGGCACACTTGCTTTGTGACTTTTGCCCATTTGATCCAGTATTACCTAAGCAATTATACTTATAGTCTGGTGCCACCTTGATTTCTCACTAGATCAATGTTACCTCAGTGACTATACTTCTTTTTTTTTTTTGGCAAAACTGGGGATTGAACTCAGGCCCTTGCGCTTGCCAGGGAAGCACTTATTCCACTGAGCCATCTCCTGGGCCCCAGTGACTACACTTGTAATCCTATCCCACCTTATGCCTGCCTTACCTTGTAGTTTTGCTCTATAAGACTTGAGAAGTAGGGTCCCACAGCATCCACTTGTGACCCCTTCCATCCCCCTTAGAAGCTTTCTTTTGCCCAATAAGTACTTCCTACACTTAAAAGTGCTGGGATTACAGACATGTACCACCATACCTATTATCTTGAAAAGATGTAAAGAATTACTTAAAATACCTGATCAGAAGATGGGATGCACCCTTGATCATGACCAAGAATTCCCGTGAAAGTTATAGCCTTACTGTGGTTTGAAAAAATATTCAATGAGCAGAGGAGGTGATCTCTCCAAAGTCGCAGAGGCCAGGCATGGAAGGAAGTGGAGGTGGTTAGATGTGATTAAAGGCCAAGATGCCCTCCTGATTGCCTGTGTCCCCTCCCACCCTCTTCTCTTGTCTTCTACTCTGCTCACCACTAACAGTTGTCTCAGCTGAGGCATACTGTTCCTCCACTGGACATTCTCACTGCTAGGAGACAGGAAGAAGTAAGCCCACACCCTTGTTGGTGTCATCTTTTATTTTTCTATTTGAGATGTGAACCATGTGAACACAGGTCAGAAAATACAGCTGCACTGAAGCACTTCAGCTGACTGGAAAATAGGAAGAATGGGCTGGAGAGGCTGGGGTGGTTAATTCCAGACCAATTTTCCCCAAAGGGCTTGTGGTCCAAGCCTGAAACCAGAGGGTGCTCTGGGCAGGGAGGAGCAGGACCATGCGGTGCAGACTACAGCAAGGAGGGACAAGTCACAGCTGGGGTTGCAGCTTCATTTATTCAGTTTTGGCCTCCCGCTGCTGTTTGATGAAGTTAATCAACCCGTTGGTGGAAGAATCATGAGAGGTCACAGCAGCACTGCCATCAAGCTCAGGCTCAATTTTCTTAGCAAGCTGCTTTCCCAGCTCCACTCTGCCAGGGAGGGGAGGAAGAGGAGGGTGAGTGAGATTTCAGTGCTGCTGCTGAAATCCTCAAGTCAACTACAGGTATCCCCAGCCTCCTGAGTCAGCAACTCACCCCCACTGGTCAAAGCTGTTGATGTCCCAGATGACACCCTGCACGAAGATCTTGTGCTCGTACAGCACTGCAGAGATGGCAGACAGTGCGTGTTAGGGCCTCCCTCACCCCATCCAACTGAGCCCAAGTGGGCTATTTGCCCTACTCACCAATCAAGGCTCCCAGCATGAATGGTGTCAGCTTTGTGAACACGATAGAGTTGGTTGGGCGATTTCCTTCAAAGACCTTCAAAGAACAAAGAGTGCCCTGAAATTAATCCTATCCCCAACTTCCTAAAACAGAATCCCACAGCTGGGAATCTATGAGTCTGGGAGGAAATAACTTCCCACTGCATAGGACGAGCCAGGCACACCGCAAACCCATCACCAGCCCTCCAGCTCCAGCACCACACTTCAGCAGTGCTGACCTTGTGTGGCAACAGCTTCTCAAGATCCCCTGGACTCTTGCCAGCAGCCTGGAGCTCCTTCCGGGCCTCCTCGGATGATTTTCCCTTCATCAGGGCCTCTGTCTGGGCTAAGAAGTTGGCCAGCAGGATCTGACAAGAGAGACGCCCAGCAATACCTTAGAACACTGCTGGAGCTGCAGGCCAAGGGACAGGACCACATGGCCCTTCACGAGCCAGGTTAGTTCCTGTGTGGGCACTCACTGCAGAGCTCAGCTGAAGTGACCAGGATGGGTGGGCACACCCAAGGGTACCACACGGTAAGTGGTGCTAACGACCCCACGGGGTATATGCACCACTTGCCACCAAGGGTCTTGCTCACAACTGTGCCAACATCTACCTTTCAGGAGCCTAAGAGGGGGCTAGGGATACAGCTCAGAGGAAACACTGTCTTAGCATGCACAAGGGTTCTATGACCAGCACTGCGAGGAGGGGGAAAAGAAAAAAATCCTACAAGCGGCATCACTTCTCTGCTCAGGTCAGCAGCACTGGATAACAGAACCACAGAGGGAAGGAAGGAGAATTCAACAGTACATCACTGAGTCAGGTCTTGTCCACATAGTCCTAAACTGCTCTACACACACACACAAGACAACCACAATAAATCCTCTTTGGGGACTCAGGCTGGGGAACTAGATGGGTCCCCATTTGCTGCAGGACCTTGGCTCTAGGGTCTTTGTCCCTCCCTGTATGTTGTAACACATGGCAAAATGAATTCTATATATGCAGTTGAAGTTATGGACATTATTCTGGATGATCCAAGATAATGCACATGATAATATCCAGTGCAATTACATGGGAGAAAAAGAGAGGAAAGAGAAATTGGAAGGCAGTCAGAGATACAGGAGAGGGGCTGGAGAGATGGTTCAGTGGTCTAAAGCACCTACTTAGAACAAGCTTAGCAAAGCATCAGGGACCGCGGTTCGATCCCCCAGCACCACATGCCAGCCCCGCCCCCTGGTGGGCTGAGCGGGCCACACACACCACACACACTCACTCTCTCTCTGTCTTTCTCTCTGTCTCTCTCTCTCTCAAATAAATAAAAATTAAAAAAAAAAAGAGATACAGGAGAGAGTTGAAGATTAAAAAAACACTTGGGCTGGGGAGATAGCTTGGCAATCTAAGTGCCTGCCTGGCAAGCTCAAGGACTGGGGTTCAATCCCTGGTACTGTATGCTGTGCTCTGGCCACCAAAACCGGGTATGGTGGATTATGCCTATAATCCCAGCACTGGGGAGGCTGAGACAGGAGGATAACTACAAATTTGAGCTGCATAGTGAGACCCTGTATCAAATAAATAGACAGACAGACAGCCTAAAAACCACCCGGGCATGGTAGCTCATGCCTGTAACCCACCACTCAAAAGGCTGAGGCAGGATGCTTATCAAAAGTTTGAGGCCAGCCTGAACTACATAGTAAGATCTGGACTCAGCAAAAATAAACAGAAATAAATAATCCCAGCTCTCTGGTAGGCTGAGGCAGAAGGACTATGAGTTTGTATCTAGCCTATCTGTGAGATTCAGCAACCTATCAAGACCCTGTCGCGAAATAAAAAAAATAAAAAGAATGGGTCGGGGAGATGGCTCAGTGGAATAAGCGCTTCCCTGGCAAGTGCAAGGGCCTGAGTTCAATCCCTGGTTCTGCCAAAAAAAAAAGGGCTGGGATGCAGGTCAGGGTCAAAGCCCTGCTTTCCATTCCTAGTACTGCAAGAAAACAAAACAAAACAAAATACTTGGTCTGGGGCCAGGGAGATAGCTCAGTAGAATAAGTGCTTGCCTGGCAAGTGTAAGGGCCTGAGTTCAATCCCCTGTTCCAGGGGAGGAAAAAAAAAAAAAAAACCAAAAAAAACCCACCTTGGTCTGCCATTGCTGGTTCCAAGATGAAAGAAGCCATAGCTAGGGAAAGCAGGTGGCTTCAGAGGGAGTTGTGACGAGATCCAGAGTGGTGTGGGCCTGGGAGAGTGTGAGACTGGGACAGGGTCCTTACCTTGTGATGCAGACCCTTCCGTATTGGGTGCTGGGTCTGAACCGGGATGAGGAAGTCACAGGGTATCATCTTGGTGCCTGTGAAGGTCAACAGTTACCTACGCAGCCCCACAGCCCACAGTGGGGCACTGACCTACGTGCAAAGCCCTGCCGTCACACCTGGGTCCTCCCTAGCACCGCCCCTGCCCAGGCCGGATGGGCCTTACCTTGGTGGATGAGCTGGTAGAATGCGTGTTGGCCATTGGTCCCTGGCTCCCCCCACACGATAGGGCCCGTCTGGTGGTCCACACGGACGCCCGGCTTGGTAATGTACTTCCCGTTGGACTCCATGTCACCCTGGAGTGCAGACAGAAGCTCGGACCCCATTTGCAAGTTTTGCTCCTTCCTGTACTACACCCAAGTGCTACCTATGACGCAGGCCATAAGATAGACCCAAAACTGTTGTCCACAGGCTCCCCAGTGTTCTGATTACACTACTGTGCAAGCAGGACCCATGGGCAGAAGCTGCATCGAAAGGTGGGTGGATGACTTCCAAAAAACCCCAAACTTTGGGGCTCAGTGATATACTGAGCTTGGTTAGTATACATGAGTCCTGGATCTGATCCCCAGCAGCCAAACAAAAACAAAATAAAAGCAACAAAAACAAAGTTTTGATAACAAAATCAACTGATTTTTTTTTTTTTTTTTTTTGCGGAACCAGGGATTGAACTCAGGCCCTTGCACTTGCCAGGGAAGTGCTTATTCTACTGAGCCATCTCCCCGGCCCCTCAACTGATTTCTTAAAGGAGGGGTAGGCTTTTCTTAGGGTGTCAACTCAGCGAGATGCTGGCCCTTGGACACCTACCTGATCATGTCAACCCTCACACAGGAAAACTGGGACCTGGGGAAATTTAACCTTCCTTCCATCAAAGGACTCACCTTCCGGTGTTGGGGGTCATCTGCTGAGCCTGCCCCAACGAGCCCAAGGGCACAGGGCAGGGACTAGTCTTACTAAAGTAACCAGATGTGGAAGGGCTCTGGAGGGGCTGCTCATCTCTGGGGAATCCAAGGAGTCCAGGGGATAGGGGACCTCGCCCTAGCTCAGTCCTTTAAGTGGCTGCTTCCACAAAGCTGTCAGCCTCAGGGTGCTGGAGTTCGAACCTCACAACTCTCCCGCTGGCCAAAAGTGCCCTGAAGGCATTCGAGGAAAAAAAAAAAAAATCCTTAGGGCCCAGGAGATGGCTCAGTGGAATTAGCACTTCCCTGGCAAGCGCAAAGGCCTGAGTTCAATCCCTGGTTCCACCAAAACAACAAC